TGCATCATCAGGACATAAAATCTATGATAGCAACCAGGTTGAGAGACATCATCTCTTAAGTAAGCATTAGCCAGATGCTGCTCAGTGATGAGAAATGGTGTTGAGGCAGAGCAGTGATAAACTGCAGCCCAGAGCCCTTGCTGGGAGAGGTACCATTCAGCATACTGCCTTCACCATCTGCTGCATTTAGGTGAACTCAGGCTGCTTGCAGAAGAGCAAAGGGATGCAGAGTACTAGTCAGAATAGGGCATCGTGTTTGACTGCATTACTGAAACAGGCATTGTGCAGAGGGAAACAGAGTACATATTATCTTACAGTTGCATCGTGGGTTGGTCTTTGTCAAAAACAGACCTCTGGACCATCTGGATTTGAATCAGATCCCACAGGGCCATACCAGAAACTAGTTTTGTATGCAGTGTGTGCATGTTGCTGAATTGGTTGCTTTGAAGGAAGAAAGGAGTAATACCAAAAGGGCTGTTTCCTGAATATCCCCAAAAGGTTGCTGGCAGCTGTGGTTCACAGCAGACCTTGTTGTCTGACTTCTCCAGTGTGCCTAGCGTTTTAATAGTGGAAGGGACTATGTGACCATCAAGTCCAGCCTCTGGTATGTCACAGGCAGCCCACAGCAGGCTGTCTGCAGAACCTCTATTCACTCATTATGTCTCAGTTGAGGTAAAGCACATAGCTTTTAGGCTAGCCTCAATTTAAGAAAGGTCTTTGTGTAATAGAAAATCCATTACAACTGCAGAAAAGTGTTCATCATCATCTCTGTTAAAAGTCTGCACCTTGTGTCTGCTCTTCATCTGTTCTCCTTTCAGCCACTGGGGTTTCTTCTGCTTTTCTGCCAAATGAAAGAGCTGTCTGATCAGAAATTATCTACTCATGCAGGCACTTACAGACTGTGATGAAATTGCGTCTTAAATTTATCTTACAAGTGAAGTTTGCTTCTCTGCTTTCTTCCTGTGTAGTTGATTGTCTATGGAGTGACGCATGCATCTGCCTTCTGATTCCTCATTTCTCCAAAATACTTGGGAAATGGTGGTACCAGAACTGCACTCAGTATGTACATGTCTGTAGTACTGTACCTTTCTTTCCCTCTCCATGAGTCATATTTGTTCCTTCTGTGGTACATTACAGAGAGGTTTTTTGTTAGCTTGCTCTTGACTGAGCACTCTGGTCTAGTGGTCTTTCTTGTGGTCACTGCCTCATGAAACCCAGTCCAAAGTGCATGCTCTGCATTCAGATCTGTGTACAGACAGCCTTGTTTTGTGCTGGTAGACTTCTGCTCCCAAGACATGGTCCTTTCAAGAATGGGATGTCTCCATGATTCAGTATCCCCTCTTAAATACCCTCTTCCCTCTCCCATCCCTTCTGCACTCATTTGCTGAGGAACTTACTATCAACTGAAGCAGCTGGTTAAATTTCATGAACTAAGATTCATTGATGTTTCAGCTTCATTTTATCAGTTTCCAGGGTGGCCACATTCATGGTTATGTTTAAGGCTGACTTCTTGCACAGGTCATTTGAGAAGTGTCAGAAGCAGTCCCCTTGAATACAGGGGTCAAGGTTTCCCTTTGACTTGTCTAGCACTCAAATCCCAGCTGCGGCAAAATCACATGCACTCTGTGTCTGGAAAGTAGATACCTCCTTTCTCCCAACAAAGTTAATTTCTCCTTTTCATCCTTTGTCACATCCACAGTTTCTGCAGAAAATCAGTTTACATCCTGCCCACATTGCTTGTGCCCAATGCATTTTAGGGCTGCAGAGATGAGCACCATTGGAAAACATGCATAAATAAAACAAGGTCAAGGAGCTTGCATGGGGGCATCCCAGCTGGTTCGCCCAGTAGAGACCTTCCCTCTGATAGTGTCACCCAGTCCTCTGGGGAACCAGACCACTGTCTTCAGGTCCTTTTCCCATATAAGAAGGGAAGGGAAGGGAAGGGAAGGGAAGGGAAGGGAAGGGAAGGGAAGGGAAGGGAAAAGCCTGGAGTAACTGGGAGTTGTTAGGAGAGTAACTATTAGGGATTTTTGCTCTGCTAATGAACAGAATTTATCAACCCAAAATACCTCTTTGCTACGTATTTGTTTAATGGTTGCACAAGTTCTTTTTTCATTGCTTATTATTTGGTTGGCGGATGTGCTAGTAGAAAGAGGAGCCTAATAGTTTGGTATTTCATATTGCTTAAACTCATCTAGCCTAACATTAAGTAAACAAAAGTTTGTCTGTGCAGTCCTGCCCACCACTCAAGCCTTGAAAATTAATTAGTTATGCTATTCTCTAACTTCTACAAGAATTAAAAGCTTTCAGTTAGATTAGTGAAAGTATGATATAATTGTGAAAAGTTCCACATAATTTATAAAGAGACCATTAAACATGAAAGGAGCAATGCTGTGGACAAGAATAGCAGTGATTATGCAGGATTAGTCTGCTAACCCAAAGTGTCTAAAATTGGTGAAAATAATTTTGACTTCTCAGAACCCATCAGGTCATCTGATCCAGTGGGACTTTGCCCATCAAAATGGCATTCACAGTATAAATATGCTGTTCAATTAGTATGAGACTACAGTTACTTAATCTTCCCAGTGAGGGTTTTTATGTTAGCATAACTAAGAAAACTGCAGTTATCCTCTTGCAATCTAACAGCCACCTCTCCAGTCGGCATGGAAGCTCTCTGAGATGTCATGATGCCACCACTCCGAGAATGGTTAGTCCCTTTGGAAAGCAGCATAACTGATAATTTTCTGGTTCAGCACTTGATCAGTTATCTAGAGAATCTTTGCCCCATTTCATCTTCATTTGCAAGAAAAGGCAATTTGAACTATTGGGCAGGTAATCTCCACAGATACAATGCCAGCACACTACTCAGCCAAGAACTGGGAAATCAAAACCATTTTTGTTTTTGTATCTTACCTGTCATGAAGTTCAGGGAAACTCACTATTTCAAGAGACAATTTCAACAATGTTGTGGATTTCCTGCCTCCTCCTCTCTTTTCTTACCCTTGAAAGGAAAGACTATTGATACTAGAAATTATTTAAATGGCCTGTTCTGAAAATTACGGTTGAAAGGGATGTCACCAAGCCAAAACACTGTACACCGGCATCAGCAGGTGTCCCTTCAGAAGTGGGATTTTTTTGGTTTGTGCCAAATGGAACTTGTGCCAAATCAAGACTCCCGACACAGGCTGGGGTGCTCTATGTGCTGGTGTTCACATGCACCACACAAGCTCAGTGTGTGGAACCTCTCTGGTCCCCCCACTGCTCCCTCCCAGGCCCCCCTGGTCTGCGGTAGGAGCTTGGCAGCAATATCTGTCCAGGCAGCCTCTCCATGTTAACAAGTGATGGGGCATGTCACCTTGTGGGTTCCCCAAATGGATCAGCTTGGGAGGCAATCCCTTTGCCCCGTGCCAAGTCTTTCAAGTACCATTAGGCTGCCAGCATTTCCTAGGCTTTTCTGAGTCGTGGCTTGCTAGTAGCATGTTTCGAAACTTCTTGCACATGGGCTCATTTTCCTGTCCTTCACACTTAGCACCCTGTTGAGGAGTTTCTTTGTTAGAGGTCACTGGTAGAACAGTGTCACTTTAGCAGTTGTTTTGGCCCAAAGGCCAAAGACTCCTAAACAAGCTGCTAAGTTTCTAGGAGGGACACAAAACCCATGCTCAAAAGGGTAAGTTTCTAAACCTGGCACAGGTGTCTTCCTCTCAATGAGATTTTACATAGCATTTCTCCTACAATCAGTGAAGAACATGCATCTAGAAAAGAGGTTTTTTTAGAAGATTTTTGGCCACCTCATCTCAGGCTGAAGGTGCTCCCAGGGTAAGTTAAAAAGCTCTGCAGGATCCTTCTTGCACCGTAACTGTAATTCCAAAGCCTGGAATAACCACAGTCTCAGTGCCTGTTGTTGCATATGGACTCCCTGAAGGCAAGGAAGAAGCCACTCAAGAGCAGTCTGGTGTCCACTCCTGCTCTGCTGGAAAACTGTACTGGCTCAACAGTGGGACAGTCAGGTCTCCTGTGGACCAGCCCTAGTAATCATCGTAAAAGAAACTCTGCTAGGTTCAGGGCTGCTGCAGCTTGACCATGGGACATCTAAGAAACACATCTGGGCAGGTGCTTCCACCTACACACTGTAAATCTGGCAGCATCCCATTGCTGCTGGAGCAACTCATGCTTTTTTTTTGTTCAGCTTTTGCTACCTTGGTTCATTAGGTTTGCACCACATTTGTCACATTGTCTCCATTGGGTAACATCTGTCTGACATTGTCCTGGCCAGCTAAGTCACCTTCCAGAAGACTGGCATTTGAGCTGAGAGATGTAGAGCATCCAATGCTTACAGCTGCTTCTTCGTTAGATACATGGCATTTTGTTTCTGAAGTGCCAAGCCACCCAGGTTCACCCTGGTTCATGTGGCTAGAGAATCACTTTCTTTCATCCATGAAAGAGGAATATGTAAAATGGGCCCTTTTCAGCTCCCTGCAGTGACTTCCAGAACCTCTTGACATTTCTCATTTCTTTCTGTGAGGTTCATGCAATAGTAATGGAGGCTGTGACACAGTTGGTGAATTGAGATTCCCCTGGTATTTGTAAGGAGGACACCTAATTGTAATAGGAGAGAAGAAGAGTGCTGACTTTGTGATGCTGGCTGAGGTGGCTTCTCCAAGTGTTGGTGCTGACAGGGCAGCTGCAGTCTCAACCTGCAGCTCACAGAGATAACCCTGCCTCTGAGTTGCACTCCCACTCCTCTCCTGTTTGATTTTGGTGCAGACATAAGAGTTTGAGTCTCTCAGGCCTCCTCTTGGGGTGCTGCTAAAACAGGAGGTTAGTGCCCTGATGAGCCTTTCAGCAGGGCAGGGAGGGAGACGTGCCACAGCCACAGTTCCAATCCTGAAGTGATGGGGGAGTTTTATTGGTGGATGATCACAGCCTTGGCTGATGGCAGAAGAGAAACAGTGATATCATTAACCAGCACCTCTACATTTCTCTCTCCCTTGCTATTCCAGAGTGATTACTCAAGTGACACTGAAAGTGAAGACAATTTCCTGATGATGCCACCAAGAGATCATCTCGGCCTCACTGTGTTCTCCATGCTCTGCTGCTTCTGGCCATTGGGAATTGCTGCCTTTTACCTGTCTCATGAGGTAATGTTAAAATGTCTCCTGCTATTTCAGAGCTTTGCATCCACAGAGTAGCCATCACTCCACATCAGCAAGGAAAGTTCACCAAGACCCAAATGTGGGCAAGAGGCTCTCAAGGGTAGTGGGAGGTGGTTAAATAGGGTAGTGTGTTCCCCACCTTGGTATATCTCTGTGATAGTTGTGACTGTCTTGTGAGATACCTTGTTGAGGGAGTAGTATACAAAATATTTTAGGTTTCAATTGACAATGGTCAGCTCTCATGTCAGGTTATACAATGTCCAGCTACATGTTTTCTATGGACATGACTTCTGAGCGGAAAACACCCTTGCTATCTCAAGCATTTGGATTTCCCATTGGAAAAACTGATGTATTGGTTCCTAAGCTGATCATCTGTTAAAGAAGACCAGGTAGTATCCTTCTAGGAGCAGAAAAAATCATTTCTCTTGCAGAGAAGCGAATTTGCTTTCTAGGAACCATTTCCTTCAACCCCCCCTCCCCGAAAAATTGCACAGTCTGTTCTTCTTGTCCAATTTTAATATGTAAATGTTTTTTACCAAAGAAGTGACAGTGTTTTGGTTTGTTTCCTTCATGAGATGGGCTTGCTGGTTTCCAGCCTGTGCCTAGCAATCACCTCATACCCCATCATTTGTTTGGACAAGTATGTGTTGATAAGTGCCTGGAGAGTAATTCTTGAGTTTCACAGCATGGCAGATAATGTAACGTGACAGAAGAGGAGTCACACTGGAAGTATCATCAGTGACAGCAAGGAAACATTTGCTTATACGTCTGTCTACTGGTGGTAGCAATGCCTATTGCAAACTACATTCTGTACTCCACAGCACCTAAATCATTCACCCTCTCACCTTTCTTTCTAATCTGCCTGCTCTAAACATCTGCCAGCTCTGGGTATTTGTCAGGCCAGAGCAAGCACTTCAGATCTGAAGAATCCTAGTCTTCAAAATCAAAGAAATAGATTCAGCATTACTACTATTTTTTGCTTTAAATGAAGAGCCTGTCATTGAACTTGGAAGCCTCTGTGACAACTAAATTTTGTCCAGTGGAAAATAACAAGTTTTCTTGTTTGAGTGCTATTGATTTCTCAAGTCTGGGTGAAGGGATCTGCCTGATAATGATGACAGCACAAAATAAAGCATTGAGTGGGACCCACACATGCTTTAGTATCCTGCCATTTGGTCCTTCATGCAGAGCAGTTTGTCAGTAGTTTCAATGGCCACATTTCTTCACATGCAGGGACTTGGCAAGATTTTTCAGCAATGCTGCAGCCAACGAAGGGTTGAGAGTTTGTCACCATTAGCAGTGTGTTTGCTCTGTGCTGGGGAAAATAGCGCATTCATTAATTTATTTCCTTTCTTCAGGAGGCCTGGGGCTTGCCTAGCTAGTTTTATCTATGCAATGGAAGCACAGCATAGTCCAATAAATGCAAAACAAACAACATAATTAAGTACTGAAAAGCAGTAAGGCTGAGAAGCTAAATGTGCTGAGAGCCAGTGTACAAAGAACAGGGCATCCACATCAGCTGTGAACTGATCTCAGGGGCCAGCACAAATCCGTAAGACCCTACTACTTCAATAGGAGCAAAAGGAAGGTGGGTCATGTGAAAAATAGGTCATGTGAAGGCAGCAAAAGATGATATTGTGCTGAAGTACTTAAACCCTAGAAAATGGACACTTGCGTGCTGGTTTGGTTTAGCATCATGATGGGGAACTGCTGAACATGACTGCCTAAAACTAGGAGCTGTCCCCAAGAAAGGTCAGGCAGGTGCTTTGCTTTTATTAGATTGAGAGGCAGTAAATTAATCTTTGTTAGCTGAACCCTTGGATTCACCAAGGCAAGCTGTGGCTAAATCCAGCTGGAGGAAGGACTGCATTTCTGAGTTTTGACTTCTGCTTTTTGTATTTTGTCATTGGAAGTAGAATTTTTTTCTTTCCCCACTAAAAAATTATAATAATAATGCCACCCCTGCATGCTGCTTTCCTCTCATCTCTCCTTTTAGCTCTCTCCCACAGCTGAATCAGAACTCCTTTCCCAAATCTATTACAGAAAGATGTTCAAGTCCCTGCTCGTCCATCACAGGCATGTCAGTCTGTTAGCTCCCCGAGTTTCCATGCAGTTACCTTCGCTGTCTGCCTCCCCTCCAGAAGGCCCATCACCATTCTGAGAAACCACCAACCTTCACTGAAACCAACACTTCTGCGAAACCTTGTGTCCAACAAATTGGCATTTTCCTGTTGAAAAATAAGGCACAAATTAAGGCCAAAACTTTCTGTCGCTGACAACTGGTTGAAATAGCTGGTTTAAACCACTGAAATCCTGCACCTAGCTAAGCTAATACTGACTATGGTATCAACTCATACTTTGGAGCATAAACCATTCAGAATGGAGTTAGTGAGGTAGGAAAACATTATGTCCTATTAACATGTGGTTTCTATGTATATAGGTCTTTTAACTTAAATTCCCGAATAACATTTGAGATCTCTTATTAATACAAAAGAGTAGTCTTAACATTCCCCATCCTTTATCAAAAGTCAGAACTATAACAAAATATCAAAACCTGACACTTGCATTCATACCTTTTTCTGTAGCTGCTTGAGCTCTTGAAAATTCCATGTTTTCAAAAGACTCCTGGCTAGTCCTACTAAAAAGGCTCAGTCTGGGAAAAAAATTGTAATGCAGTGGAACTTCAAAGGTGGTGGATGATATCTTTGTGCCAGAATTTAGCACTTGTGTTGAACTTTTAAAATTACGCCGGTCTCCTTTAGGTGTGCAACTCATTTACAGATGAAGGCCTGATTTGCATTAGATATATTTGCAGTGCATCTTGGTCCAAAGGGAAAGGTGCTCTCAGTCTATTCCTGCAGCACCTGGCAGTACATTTACGCTGCATATGTCTGTGTCACAGTGCAAAAGCATTACACAAGGATCAATGGTGATAAGGGTTCAGAGATACTCTTCACAAATAGAAAGATTATTTTCCCCTGTGCTGCTTAAAAGTAATGTGCTTCCCTGCAGGGGCTATTTCTGCTCTGTGTGAGACTTCTAGTTTTTCCACCAAGGCTCTTGCTGATGTGCTGCTGACTTAGGGCTTCTTGGAGGCCATCTGTACCAAACAGTGCAGCTGTGCATGGTCTGCCTGCATGGTGGAAACAAAGGTGTGCATCAGGTTTAGCTGAGCCAGCAAGGAGGAGCAGTGGATTCAGAAATGCCCTCTGTGTAAGCAAATGCCATTCCTTTCCATTGGCATATCCAGTGTTCATGGGTAGGGCATCACCTGGTGATCTTCCTGTTCCAGGCAGCACTAAGAGTTGCTGCTTTTCATCCTCCCTCAGTAAAACAGAGAGCCTGAGGCCATCACTGTGTTGTGTACTTGCTCATTTACTTGTTTCTGTTTTGATCTATGTTTTCCTTCCCACAAGAAATTTACACCCACTGCTTGTGGCTGCCCAGTCCCGCTCTCCCCATCAGCTACCAGAAAATCACTGTCAGGACTGGGCCATTTTCTTCCCCAGGTATCCCATCTTCCATCATGCTTGCTTCTTCGGACCATGAGATTGGGATGTGACTCCCATTGTCTCGCAGGCACAAGGTGTCCCCCTGGTCACGCTGGTGTCACACTAAGTCGTGTCCTGGTCCCCGTCACAGCTGAGTTACAGAAGCTTTGCACATCTGAGCTGTTCAGGTGGCCTGTCCAGAGGCCACTGCTTTAGAGTAACCTCTCAGGAGGGAGAGTGTCTCCAAGTACTCTCATGTTTAACGGTAGACAATGTTTATTGGCTAATTTTGCACTTTTCTACAAATGGGGAACATGCATTTTTGTGCTTGCCATTTTTTTTGATTAGCTGCTTTCCTGACAGCTTCTAGCTGAGTCTGACGGGCTCAGTTAGAGGGGTTTTTGTGCAGTTTGCAGGGAAGACTTTGCAGAGGAAAACACAAATATTGTATGCCTTTCACCATAACTCTCCTCCACAAACAGTGTCTGATCCAAAAATCTCATTATGTTTATTTTTTCATAAATTTCCACCCTCTGGAGTCATGCAGGTACCTCAGTTTTCATTTTTACAGAAGTTTTTAGCTTTGTAGACTGTAGGCAAGTCTGAAGCTTTGTAAGTCAGAGAAAGAAGTTAAAAAAGAAAATCTTTTTGTCTTTTCAAGTTTACAATTAAACCCGTCAGACAATTTATCGGGGCTTGTCAGGATTTCTGCTTGGTAGGTGTTGATAATCCTGCAAGGTCCTTTTATCTGAATCCTTTTTCCCTTGCATTTATTTTTAAGAAAGAAAGCAATACTGTGGCACACAGTAAAAAGAAATTCATTATCAGAGGCCTAAGTCTGTGCAGATGTCAATGAGCTTCACTTTGTACCTGCTCTCTTGTGGGATGTGAGTGGTCATGTGGAGCCCTTCACCCCTGGTAAATCCCCACCAAAGTGTCCGATAGATGCCAGCTGGGCCAAACAGGAACAAAAGTATGTGCAATCACTGCAACCTCCACATTGCTGTGTCAGGCTGGCATAGGCATACACCTGAAAAATCCCACTGGACACGTCTCGGCATGCTTAGGTGCTGAAATAGCCTCCAGACCTGCTTTCCTCCCCAGCAGCACGTGAGACCTGCCAGGCAGCAGACTGCAGTCCAAGCGCACAGGAGCAATCACTTCCCGTATGCTGCACTTACTCTGCGCCATAATTACCTCCCTCGCACGGCGATCGAAGGATTCACGGCTCTGTAATTATTTCCCCGGCCCATGGAGCGCTTGAGTGGGCACAGCTCCAAATACCGTTGCTGGGATTATCTTTAAAGAAAAATAGGGTCTGCACACTGGGTAAAAGGATTTTGTCTGGTTTTCATGCAGACACAAGGCATACGTGATCAGGCAATGGAGCAGCTCATCTTTCTTCATGATAACTTCTGAACCATTTGGTTACTTTCTGTGCAGTTTTCAGAGACAGAAGTTTTGAAAAAACTGTACTCTGACACGTTTCAGCAG